GATTTCACCTTTTGCAACCCTATTTTGCTGCGGGGTGCCAGGCATAATATACTGAGCTTCAATGCCATGCTCTTGAAGGTACAAAGCAAATGGCCCAGGGTTCCTTCCAGTCTCAGTATATCTCCCATAAAATTCTCCTCCTCTATCAGATCTCACACACTTGATCAACTTGCCAGATTTCAATTCGACTGCTGCTTTAAAGGTCTTGAATGCATTAAGGGACTCGCCCTTTTCACGCAAGAGTTCAATCCATCCATGACGAGAGTAATCATTCGTGAAGGTGATGAAATATCTGAAACCACCCATAGTCGGAGGCGTGATAGGTCCACAGATATCAGTATGGATTAGGTCTAAAGTGTTTTCAGACCTCTTTGCCCCTTTGGTTCTAGCTCTAGTAGGGAATTTTCCTTTTATACAGTCAACACAAGTCTCAAAATCTGAGAAATCAAGGTCTCGTAAGATGCCTTGTTTGATCATGCGCTCCAATCTCTCTCTAGAGATATGACCCAAACGACGATGCCATAACATAGAGGAATTATCATTGGGCCTTTGACGTTTATGCCCAATAGCAACATTAACATGAAGATTAGGAAGTTCAAGTGACCAATCATTCAATCGATATAAACCATATATCAAGGAAGCGACACCAACATTAATGGAATCAAAACAAATGTCAATTTTCCCATTTCCTTGGAAGAATGAATAGCCACAAATATCCAATACAGAAGTTGAAATTAAATTCCTCTTCACAAAGGTACATAAACAACATTGTTCAAATGTAAAACATGACCAGAATTTAAATACAAAAAAACAGTTCCAATGCATTCAACTGATGCCTTGCTCCCTGCTATGCCAAAGACTGACCTCTGTGCCTCACTTGGAACCTTCTGGTTTCTTAGCCCCTGTAGAAAATTCACAACATGTATAGTGGCACCAGAATCCAGCCACCATGAGTCAAAGGAAGTTTCAATGGTGTTAGATTCAAAACAAACTAGAGCTAGAGAGGCAGTTTGAAGAGTTGTACCTTCACTTTCTTGTTTGTTCTTCAATTTGAAGTAATTAGCTTTAATGTGACCCGGTTTCTTGCAATAATTGCATAACCCTTTAAAGGTTTCTTCCTTGACTTCTCACTCTTATCACCATCCTTCTTAAAGGTTGGATTATTAAGCTTTGGGGCATCATGCTTCTTCCCCTTTTTCTTATATGACCCTCCAGATTTGCTGCTAGAGCCATGAGAAACATAGTTTATTAAGTGAGAGAAATTCTTCTTTATAGCTTCCTCTTCTTGAGTGACTATCGATATCATCTGGTCAACAGACCATTCAGCTTCTTGTGAGTTGTATGAAGTCCTCAAGAATGCGTACTCTGATGGTAATGATTGAAGAACACGGTAAACCAAGGTACTTTCACCCAAATCAATCCCATATGACTTAAGCTTGTTATAGTAATGAAAAAGCTTCAGAATGTGCTCTCTGATACCAGAAACTCCGTCGTATCGAGTATTGTCAAGAAGTGACAGATAGTAGTTCTTTTGAGTCTTGTCAAGCTTCTTGTATTTGTTACTAATAGCTTTCAAGTACTCCACTGCAGTATCATTTTCAGGAATGCTGTCCCTAATTCCCTTTCAATTGTGTACTTGATGATCGCTAGACAGATTCGGTTGGACTCACTCCATTGTTTATGGAAGGCTATTTCAGAAGCACTGGACTCGGAAGAGAGATCCGCAGGCTTGGGCTCTCTCAGAGCTAAATCTTTCTCAGAAATGGTCAGATACATATTGAGGGACTCTTTCCAGTCATCATAGTTAGTCCCATTGAGAGCCTTCACAAAGGATAGTTGCGTAAAAGCAGAAACTGAAATCGCAAAACAGAAAATGGGAAATATTAATTATGCGTGCACAACATAATTATAAAACAGAATTCCCAACAAGCGATTATCAATTATGCAACTATAACCATGCACCAAAAGGCTCATATACCATAAAGATTTAGCTCACACAAAAGTCCATACAAAATAATGCATTAAACATTTTCATACCTATAGGGTACAATAAATATCTAATACATTAAAGGAGTGTTATTAGCCTATTCTCAAAGCCAACCATCAAAATCACATTAATAATGTCATACCTATGGGGTATGTCCATTATCAATGCTACAAGATCCTAAACATCATCAATAATTTACAAAGTCACAAACTTTATGACTTTAGGACAAAACAAAATAATTTTAAAAAGTCCTTAAGGTCTTTTGGAATTAGGGAACAAATTTAAAATTTAGGTAAAATTTTAAAAGGCATCCAGGGGCAAAAGGGTAATTCTGGAAGAGATTTGGGTCAAAATTGAAATTCTGGAAGTTAAGGGACTGAACTGTGATTTCCAGAAATATATTGAGGCTAATACGTAAATACAAGAAATTATGGGCCCAAATAGGTAATTTAAAACGGGGCCGAAACGCAATTAACAGAAGTTTCTTTTTTTGAACTAGGCCCAGATGACACGAAAACCGGATCCCTAGGATTCAGTTTCCTTTGCGCCGCCAGCTTCTCCCTTTTTTTTTGGATTTGGGCCAAACTAAATTGTGGGCACATAATCCACAAAACCGAATCCCTAGGATCCGGTTCCACGACCCGTTCTGGGTCCTCTCCAATCGCGAGCTGGAAGACGAGAAGGAAGGGGGTGCCGGCGTGCAACGTTGCCAGACGCCGGCGAACCTAAAGCAGCCAGTTACCACGACGGTGGCAGTTCCACGGCGATGTCGTGAACTTGAAGAGGCGGAAAGAGACCGCCGGCGATGACAGAACCTCCCTTTTTTTTTTGAACAACACTGAAGAGTCCATGATTCCAAAGCTCCCCGGTGTTGATTAAAACAAGAATAAAAGGAAAGAGAAGGAAGAGAGGCGCACGGCAATATACAGTAAATCTTATACTCATTTTCAATGATAATAATGAAAAGAAAATTATCAAGCATGTTAATAAAATCTGAACATGCTCATATGCATAAAATAAATAATAATAAATTGAGATATATAGATTGATGTTTGTAACCTGGCTCTGATGCTACGTGTTGAATTTGAATATGTGTTGAATCTGAATATCTTAATTCATATGTATAATAAAATATGATAGAATAAAGTAATTTATGCGTACCTGAAGAATCCATGAGTGCTAAGAAATCTTGATTACCTCGAGTGTAGGTAGGTACACAACCCTCAGGTCCCGGAGCCTTTAGAGAGTTCAGAGATAATGGAAGTAGAAGAAATGAGTCGTGTGTTTGTGGTTACCGACTAATCGTCTTATATAGATCAGATCGGTAACCGCCTTATTAAATAATTAAATAATTATATTATCTATTATCTCTGACTCAGTCAGTTAAGAGATAGGAAATAACTGACGGCTACTGGGTTGTGGGTTGGGCCTCTGCCCATTGGGCTCACTTGTGTGGTCCACCTATCACGGTCCACACAAGATCATAAGGACCAATTTATTGGGCTTATTAATTAATGCTAATTCATAAATAATATTCCAACAAATTAGTCTTCAATTAAATGCATTGTTTAACTTTTCAGCTCTAAGCCATGCCAAAGCATCCTTGTACGTTTCCAGAGTTTCAAAAATTATTGCAAAAGCAGAGGGTTTCAAACCATATTAAGCAAAACATTTTTCCAAAGCATACTTTTGAGGAAATTCTAGCCAATTCTTACCCTTAATTTGGATGGTCTTATTTCTCAAGTTTAATGCCACAATTATACTGATTCGGGTCTTAATTCAATGCTATCTTCGGTTCTAATTATAAAACCTTATTAAATCTAATTTACGAATATTAATAAAAGCAGTTAATTTAATTATTTATATATAATTTGTCATACTTTTCATAAAATACCCCTCCACAATGAGAGAGAGTAAACAAATATAATTCTTAGTGGTAGTTTGAGAAAAAAATTAATAGATGAGAGAGACAAGGGCTTATTTGGTTTCTGCTTACATTTTTTATTTTTAAAAACTGTTTTATAATAGATTTTTAAAAAATTATTTTATAATATAATTTTCAAATTTTTTAAATATAAAATAAAAATATGTTTATTATGTTAATTTAAAAATAAAATTACAATTAAAAATATAATAATAGTAATAGTTGGAGGCAGTTAATGATAATTGTTTATAATAAAAATTGACCAAAAAAACTATATTTTTTAATAATTAAATGTATTGTATTTTGAAAATAAAAAATAAAAACAATTATAAAATTTTTCATTTTTTATTTTTAAAAATAAAAAAGAATAGTTTTGAAAATAATTAAATTCAAAACACTTGTCCAAACAATTTTTTTATTTTTTATTTTTAATAACATAAAATAATTTTTAAAACATAAACCAAGCAAGCCCTAAAAAAATCAAGATTTTACAAAATATGATCAAAATAAATCTACATCTAGCTCTTATAAATAAAATTCGACGGAATATTTACAAATTTTCTTTAACAACCTTATTATTATTGACAATGCATATTTTGAACATGAAAATAAATTTTAAAATCATAACAATTCATATTTATATAAAAAATTAGGTGAATACAGAACGTAAAAAAAAAATAACACTTAACAAGATGAATTGTTGAATGAAAAAATATTTAGATAGAATGAGTTGATCACTTTATTCATAATGTGTCTAATTAAAATATTTTAAATAAAATTTTGTGTGATATTTTTTTAATTAATTTTATTTTTATAATAAAATGCGCGTTTAATTTTTTTTTTTCTCTCTCCATTATATTAATATTAAAATTATTTATATTAAATATTATTTAAATATTATATTTTTATTAAATAAATCATAAATGATATGATATACCTCGTGAATCCAAATGTTCTCTCGTTGAATGTGCAATTTTCTTGGGCCATCAGTTTGATCAATGAGCTGAATTTTTTTTTTTAAATTTTTGGCCCAAGTTTAGGATGTAATTTGACCAAATATGTCGACTAATTCTTTGTCCCCGGCCTCCGTTAGCCGGCTTCGGCCATCATCTAACTTTCTCGCCAGCCGAAGTAGCCAAGCAGATATTTTCTTTTTCGGACCATCCAAAGATACGCCGTTGAAGGTATCTTCGAGCTCCAAGCTTTTCGTTACTTTTCCATGGCGGTCTCGGTTTCGTCGTCCGCGATTCCTTCTTTGAATTCGGAACTTGCCATTTGTTTAACCACTTCTTCTCACTCGGCAAAATTATCTTCCCCTGCGTCGCTGCAGTTTCCTGTGCGGACCCAGCTTCTTCGAATTGGCGGCCTTGGGTTGTTCACTCCCTCGCGGCCTCGAATCCTTCCTTTGGTAACAAAATTTTCGTTTTGTAGGGCCGTAAATTTCGTTCGTTCTGCTTGTTGGTTCAGTGAAATGCAAGTAGGAGTTTTGCGATTATTTGTTGCAGCTGAGCTTCGTCGGTCGAACTCCACTTTTCAATTCCTAATTGAATTACGAAATGATATTGTTCGGAATGTACGGAGTTACGAAAGAAGTTATCCTGTGACTATCCCTCTTTTAAATGATGAATGGATTTATGGATTAAGCCAGCAATTGGAAATTGTCAGTAGCAGACCAAAGCACTCATTGTATTTTTACTGTTTCAATTAGTGATATTTGGCTGTTGATACCTCTTAAGCTTGACGAAGCAAAGGTTTGTCCCTGTAAATAAGGTTTTAAATGCTTCAATTGGCCAAGCTATTTATCGGATGGTAGCATGGACTTTATAGGAAGGGATTATAAATGAAGCCTATTCACATTATTTATTTACCACCTTCTCTTTCCTCTACATGTTGTTTCCCCTACGTAATTGGCACCCCCCTTAGCTACCTGAATTTATTGTCAGTCTGAATGATGTTACATGTGTAATTTCAAAGACTAAATAGCTTCTGCGTCTTTGTGCATTTGCAATGAATTGGTAGTAGTTTCAACTTTTACTCTCAACTAGATATGGTCTCATGCATTGCTTAGACTTTGAGAAATCAGTAACACTATTCACAATTTATAAATAGTGTTGCTTGCTAGATTTTTTACTGTTTATATTAATGATTGTATTGATATTGATTATGAACTGACTGAAAAATTGAAAAATGTTTTTGTAGGTTAAAGCAAAGAAGCAAACTTTTTCTTCTTTTGATGATTTGCTTGCTAATTCAGAAAAACCTATCTTGGTTGACTTTTATGCAACCTGGTAACCTCATGCCCTCTTTTTGTTTATTCCCTTCTATGGGTCTGCATATTGGTTAGGACTTTAATAACTTATTATATCATCCAATTGAAGTTAGTTATCCTGGCCGGGTTTGCAGGTGTGGTCCTTGTCAATTTATGGTTCCCATACTGAATGAAGTAAGCACTCGGCTTATAGATAAGATACAGATAGTGAAGATTGATACTGAAAAATATCCTAGCATCGCTGATAAATACAGAATTGAGGCATTGCCTACTTTCATCATCTTCAAGGATGGGAAACCCATTGATCGCTTTGTAAGTTAAACTCTATCTTTTTCATCGTAACTGTCCTCCTTGCATGGTTAACTTGTGTGTGCAACTAATCAATATATAAAGCATTTGCATATGGTGGTTCCACTTGATTCCTTCAATTTGATTTAGAACTTGTCGTTGGCCTGTGCCTGTCCCTTCATGCTAAGATGGATGGTTGTGTTCTTCTAGTTATAGTTGCTTCAATTATGATGCTGAGAACCTAGTTTGTGCTTCAAAAGGTGGCATGGATCTGGTGTCTGCCTTTAGATCATCGTGAATGATAAGTCTTCACACATCGGATTCAGTTTAAATGTACTGTGACTATTTCTCACTCCTCAGCATTATCCTAATAACTTCTATGCTATGTTTAATATAAAGTGGGAATGAGAATGAGAATGAGAATGGGAATAAGCATGAGAAATGTGTTTTTTTTTTTTTTTTAAAGAAAACCTATTCTCCTAACTATGGTTAAAATGTATATCATTGATTATGGGCATACCAAACACACAAGTTTAACTTTTCCTGCCTCATTCCCTTTATAGAAAAGATTTTTCCGTGTATATTTTTTTTGCTGCGATGCTATGCTGTAGTATATTTTTCAATCTGACATCTGAAATATCTTTGAAACTGTCTCCTCTCTCTTTTGTACTATAACCAGGAGTTGAAAACTAAGAAAGAGCCTGGTTTTTTATATTCTGCAGGAGGGAGCGTTAACTGCAGATCAGCTCATGGAACGCATAGAAGCCGGTCTCAAAGTTAAGCAATAACACTAGGTAACCGGCATTTATACCCAATATTTAGACACCAGTTTTACAGAAATCGGAATCACTCACCTCCACGGTCCTTACTATTACTCATTTAACCTTTTTCTTTTTCTTTTTCTTTTTGGGATAGAGGGCTCTAATGCAGTATTGTTTTTAAAAAAATTGGGACTTGATTGTTGTAACGTATATTATTACAAGTACTGAACTTGAGAACTAGTCTCAATTTTTTGGCATGTTACTATACTTTTGCTTAAATAATGGCATGGAAAATTCTCGAGGAAAATGAAAGCAGAACCGCACTATAGCTCTAAGAGGCTGCTGGTCTCTCCCACAAGTCTGTAAAACCGTTGCACTCTCCGACTTTTAAATAGAGTTGGTAAATGGGTGGGCCTAGCCCATATGGACCTAGGCCCTAAAGCTCGGTTACCTCAATTTTACCCTAAAATTGAAGCTTGGCCCTCATTCAAAGGGCTTAGGGTCGGGCCCATAAGCCTGAATAAGAATAAAATAAAATAAAATTAAACATTAAAATTTATTTAGAATATTTTAAAATTTAACATATATCAAACCAAAGTCTCACATAATTTTAAAAACGAATAAAAAATTTAAAAGTTCAAATAAGATGAAGGAAGACATCATCATCAATTCTAATTAAGATCTCGCTCATTATCATCCAGAAATAAAATATTAAAACTCTCAGATATAGGTCCACTTGTGAAAGATGGAGGCGGAGGCTCAATATCAATTATTTCTGCAGTTTTTTCATCATCACCTACAATAATTATTAATTAAATTGTTTTATTATCAAATATATATCTTTATATATATCACAAGATAAAATATAAAAATTACTATAAAATGATACAAAATTATTCAATCAATTGTGGGTACAAATCAATGTTCGCACATTATTTGGAAAGAGGCGAAAACAATACTTTGTGAATAGTAAAATAGGCTTCACGGGCCGTTAGGGCTCGAGCCCTTTTTTTAGAGCTTAAAAGGGTTGGGTTTCGAAACTCGATTACCCCAAAAAATATCAAATTTTTAAGTCTGAACTTTTATTAAAACAGGCTTAAACGAGCAATCCGTCAAATCCGGTCTTTATTCCCGACTTTACTTCTAAAGACCCCACTAAAAGCAACAAGCATTTATTTTCTCCTCCTTCTAACAGACAGCATCTACGTTTCCTCATTTACCCCTCTAGTCTGGGTTGGATCAGCTAAGCCCAATTCTTTCTGCTCTTTACCTTTAATGGGCTTAGACCCATCAACATTGAGCCGAACTTGCATAAATACTTGATTATGCGCGTTATCTCTGCCCTCAATCCCATGAACTAACTTTGAATTTTGCAGTTGTAACACAAATCTTATCTTATAAATCTAATCTTGAGTAAATTGAACTGCTTTGAATTTGATTTTTCCTCTTTTGCTAGTTATAATTTTTCCTTGAATATTATTTATAAAATAAAAATATTGAAAATAAATATCATGTAATGTATGGTTCAGGCAAACAAAAGAAAATAAATTTCGTTCCTGTAGACTACGTGACGTAATTGTTCAGTATTTTTCAGCAGAGGGAGGACGTACTGCCTAAGTATGCTTAGCATGCTTCTTTCATTTTCCTCCTGAAAGAAGCAAGACATTTGCTCTATCAAGTTGATCCCATGTATTAATTAAATCTGTCGCCAAAGTGTTTTGCAATGCAGTGTGTTTGTTCGAAGGAATAATTGTTGGATGCTTTCATTCTTGAGTTTAGATTGCAGAACGATTACTGTCAGATCACTGGAGAGTGCTTGGCTCGGAAGGAAAAATGGAAATAAGAAAGAGAAAATAAAAAGAGAGAAAATGAAGAGAAGAAAAAAGTTAAGAGAGAGAGAGAGAGAGAGATATATATATATATATATATATATTTTATTGTGCTTGGAGGAGCAAGAGAAAATGGGGAGGAGAAAAAATATTTTATGTGGACAATAATAACTTTATTATTTATAAAAATATTTATATATAATAAAATTTAATATTTTAACATATTATATATATATAATAATAACTTTTATCATGTATTATTGATTGAATAAAAATATAAGTACAAATTATTTTATGCTAGCCAAAAATTATTTTATCCAATTTATAATATTATTTATTAAATTATTAAATATATAGTAATACTAAAATGAGGAAATGAGTTCAATGGCCTCAACAAATACAGCTGTCATGAATTATGGATGAAATTTTTAATATTTTATAATATAGTTCATTCATAAAATCAATTAGATATATTTACTTTTTTATCTTTAGACTAAATTTGTTATTAAAATATAATATTCTTTTGCAACTAATCCTTAATTGATTAAATTTTTCCTTTTTTTCCTTTGAATCATTCCTTTTGTTTTTTGAATATAAAATTGCAAGCGCCTTTGCTTTTTTTTTCTCTCTCCTTTGCTGTTTTTCCTAGAAATACTATGAAGAGGACATCAGATATTGAAGAGAAAATTTTATTTTTGGAAGCAAAAAATTAGGTTGGAATTTATTATCTATCATCGGTAACATTAAATTTTTTACGGACTGTGTTTGATTCATTTTGAGTGAGTGATTTTATATTTTTCGTGTTACTAATATGCGATACTACATCATTGATATATGTATGTATATCAATGATAAATAAATTTATGTCTAATTGTCTAATTATATTGATCTGCAATAATATATCAGTGATACACAGCAGTGTATCAATGATATAGTATTGTAAATTAGTAACACAAAAAATACATAATCATTTGTCCAAAACGGATCAAATACAGTCCACAAAATTTTTTTGCACTCTTAGTTTATCACAAAAAGTCAAATACCTAAATTAATAAAATAAAAAATTATGAATCTATAGCTCCATTTCTCCTCTAACATACTCCGTTCTGTCAAGTATTGTTAATATATCTCACCTCGTGTTTGTCTTTTGCAGTCATGATTGTGGCTTACTCACATTGCTCTATTGTCCTACCTTCATCTCTCTCTCTCATCTAGTTCCTTCTTCTCTCTTGCATTCATTTCTTTCGTTTTAGAGATTTCTTGCATTTTGAATCTTTTAATACTTGTAAAAAACATATATTAAAAGGGCATTTTTTGTAAATTAATTATAAATTAAATATTAAAAAGATCATTTTTAAAATTTAAGAAAAGGATAGGTTATTTCTTTTATTTGGTCTTATAATATGGGCTATGTGTGCAAAAGCTCCTATTAAAATTTTGAAACTACAATCAAATATAAGAAACTTAATTGAAAATATAGAATTAGTATTTATCTAATTAATCTAAAAATCAAATATACAATTAATTTAATAAAAGTTCATGATTAAAATAAAAATACATTACAAATATAAAATTTGAAAATATAATTTTTTATTCAAAATCTCTTTATATTTAAAAAAATAGTTGAAGATAAAAATATATGAACTATATATATATATATATATATATTTCACTTTTCTCTTCTTTTCACTTTGCTCTTTAGTTAAATTGAAAAAAATATTATTTCTTCCTTAACTTTTCTTTTCTGCCAAGCGTGGCATTAGTTTGGAGGTGAACATGTAACTGATGTAAGCCCGAACATGTGGCTTTGTTCTAAGGCATTGTTGTTTGCTTCAAATTCACTAATTTATATATATTGGTCGGAATATATATATATATATATATATATTTAGTGTGAGAATTTTTAATAAGAGGGAGTGTACGTGAAGTCATAATCGTTTAAATAAAAATTTTAAAAAAATAGAGAGAAGAAGAAAAGAAATTATTGGAACCACACAATGACAGAAATGATGAGTTGCTTTTCTGGTTTGGCCTATGGCCAAGGAAATGGAAGTAGTTAGGGACCTGAATCGTTTGCGTGTTGTGCGGTCAATCTCCGGAAAGATGCGGAGGCACCACCTCGCCACGTGGCTCTCCGCTCTTTTATCGCCATTTTTATTTTTCACAGATAGTATTTTTATATTTTTTTCCCTCAAATTTTTACAACTTTTTAAATGATATGAATCTCTTTATGTATATATAAAAATAAAATACTGTTTCACACTGATAAAAGAACAACCGATAAATATGTTTGCGATTTTTTTTAAATGCTAAATTTGATTGCTTAATATGATGGCTGTGCATCTAATGATGCTAACTTAATCAATATAAAAAAAATTTAACAAATACAGAAGATAATGGATGTTGTTTTATATATCTGGACTAAAAAAGTCATCCATCTTTTACATAATTTTAGAAAGACCAATGAGATTTGAACCTATTAAAAGGAAGTAATCATTGAATCAATATTTAAATCTCTTATGTGTCAATATTTAATACTTCTCATGTTTTAAACAAATTGTCTTGAGCATGTATCAAATAGAATTTTCTAATAAAAAGACACTTACACTGTTATACATAATAAAAAAAAGTTTGAAAGGTATCATTTATTATATATTAACTTTTTTATTGGCTAAAAAATATTCCTTTCTTTTTAAATTATAAGACACTTTTAGACAAAATCTCACATACTAATAAATCTCATTAAATATACTTAACAACCTTATCTTTTCAAAATAAAAATATAAATTATTCAAAATATTCATCATTTAATATATTGAAAAGAGAAGGAATATAAATTAATTATAAAGAGAGAAAGAATAATATTGAAATTGATATATTTAATGAAATTCTAATTTATTCAAAAAAAATTATATTTTAAAATGACAAAACTCTATTAAAAATATTTTATAATTTGAGATGGAGGAAATATGTGTTTTCTGATGAAATACAGAAAAATTTTAAATCTTAAAAAAATTCTCCATGCGTGCTTTTTTTTTTTTTTTTGTCCTGCCAACATTTTATATATGGTTGGAAAAAGAGGAACACGGGGCCATTGGAATGGATTATCCGTTTCTGCCGACACAAAGAAAAACTTAACTGCCACCCAAATGGGGCCCACATCCATTGCCGCCCATCGGCCCATATCATTAATTCTCCGTCCTTTTTCTTTAATATAGTTATTTAATGAAAAAATGATAACAAAATTTTTTAAATTATATAAATGATAAATAATTAAAATTAAAGCTTTTAAAAACTTATATATCAATAAATTTTAAAATAAAAATAATTTTATTTTTATTAAAAATAATAAACTATAGTTATAATTTTATTTAAAAAATTATAATTTTTATTTTGTGAGTCACAAAAATTAAATAAAAAATTATAATTTATTAAATATAATTTTTATTATTAAAAAATAAGTCTTAATTATAACTTTTATTT